ATCCTACTTGACCCTAACACCCTAAAACCTGAACCCCCAAAAAAATCCTAAATCCCACACCCTAAACCCTAAACCCTAAACCCTAAACCCTAAACCCTAAACCCTCAACCCTAAGTGCCGAGCCGCCCCGGGCGAGGTCAAGTCTCTGAGGATCGGTTCCAGCCAACTCGACTAAGTGCCTCGTCTTGGGGCCCTTTTAGGGTTTTAGGGTTTAGGGTTTAGGGTTTAGGGTTTAGGGTTTAGGGGTTTAGGGTTTCTGGGTCGAGGGCTTGGGATTTAGGGGTTTGGGGTCTAGGGTTTAGGACTTGGGATTTCTGGCCTTAGGATGTTTAAGGGCTTATGTCTTTAGGGCTTTAGGGTTTAAGGTTTAGGATTTAGGGCTTTAGAGCTTTAGGGGTTTAGGCATGCCAAAACCTATGTTTGTGTAGAGGGCGCCTGTAACTACTGTAGATTCTAGATTATGGCTTACAATAAGAACCCATTCAAGAAAGGTAGACCCTAAACCCTAAACCCCAAACCCCAAACCCTAAAGGCAGACCCTAAAACCTAAACCCTAAACCCCAACAACAAACCCTAAACCCTGAACCCCAAACATTAAAGGGTCACCCTAGACCCGAAAGGGCCGAGATTGGGGCAAGGTCCTGCAGTTAAAGGAAGCTACAGGTGGGGAGTTTAGGGTATATAGGGCTTCTATAAAGCTTCTACAAGGTAATATAGACCTTCTATAAGGCTCCTACAACGGTAATTACCCACCTGAAAATGTCCTAGACTGCAGCCCTACACTCTGAACAAGACCCGCGGAATGACAAGAAGGGTTTAGGGCTCAGGACTTTGGGTTTAGGGTTTAGGGTTTAGGGTTTAGTAGGGTTTGGGGTTTAGGATTCAGGTTAGAGTTCAGGGTTTCGGGCTCAGAACTTTGGGTTTACCGTTGAGGATTTAGGATTTAGGGTTTGAGGGCTTAGGGTTTAGGTTTAAGAAGCCCCGCTTGCTTGGGGAGTGTAGTGGGGCTTTGGGGCGACGGGGCCTCCGATCTTTGCAAGCATATGGTTCGTTCGCTTGTAGGCGTACTCCGCCGGGTGTTAAGGAGGAGGTTCAGGGGTTTGGGATTTAGGCCTAACCCCTGAACCCTTAAACCCTAAACCCTATAGGCTACTCTATGTAGGGTTAGAGACTTTGGGAAATAGTTTCATGGGGCCTCCTAGGGTCTCATGGATGTTCGATGTAGCTGGGCTCGTACAAGGGGCCTGGGGGTTAAGGGTTTGAGGTGTAGGTTTTTGGGTTTTTGGTTTAGGGTTTAGGGTTTGGGGTTGAGGGTTTAGGGTTTAGGGTTTAGGGTTTAGGGTTTAGGGTTGGGGTTCTTGCCTGACCTTACTGGAAGGATTGGGAGAACGCGCATATAAGTTGCAGGTTCGGTTTTGGCTGGGCTATCACTGTCAATCGGACTACTTGCAGCCCCAATTGTACCCTACTTGTAGACTAGCTACTAGGTCCATCTATCGTTCCAGCAAACTTGAAACAAATGCTGCTATATACCCGACAACCCGAAGCCTTAACCTTCAAACCGCGACTGAAGCTTGAATAACAGGAACACGGGATGGTTCAAGGGTTAAGGCTCATGGGTTTAAGGGCGTAGGGGCTTTATGGGGTTACAAAACCCACCAAAAAATTTATAACTCCAGACAGTGAGCCAAGCAGGCGTTCAAGCCAACAGCGCTCAAAAGAACAAACACACACACACACAGACACACACACACCGAAGCCCTGACCATAAAACCCCAAAAGCCCTAAAATCCTCAATCCAAAGCGGTCAATGCATGTGGGCGGCTGCCGTGCCAGTTGCTCAAGAAGACGATTGAAAGGCTCGGAAATGCCCTGGATTTCGGCGAGCTTCGGGTTTTGGAGCTTGGTGTTTTGGGTTTAGGGTTTTGGGTTTTGGAGTTTAGGGTTTAGCGTTTTGGGCTTGGGGTTTAGAGTCTAGGGTTTAGTGTTTTGGAGTTTAGGGTTTAGGGTTTTGGAGTTTAGGTTTCAGGGTTTAGGGTTTGGAGTGTGTGGCTTAGGGCTTAGAGTTTAGGAGATACGGTTTTGGAGTTAAGGGCTTAGGGTTTACGGTTTAGGGTTTTGGAGTATGTGGTTTAGGTTTTAGGGCTTAAGGAAACTTTCAGCATCATGGGGACCCGCGGGAATAACACGCCCTATTTAGGGCCCCCAAAAAAACATATAAGCAAGAATTAGGATAGGGATATCCCATATACATCCCCTAAACCCTAAACCCTAAACCCTAAACCCTAAACCCTAAACCCTAGGGATATCCCATATACATCCCCTTATAATGAAGCCCGACAAGGTCGGGATACCCCTCTAAAATGCTTATGCTTATCGGTTTAGGGTTTAGGGTTTTGGGTTTAGGGTTTAGGGTTTAGGGTTTAGGGTTTAGGGTTTAGGGTTTAGGGTTTAGGGGTTCCCACCTATTTCCCCAGGCTTTTATGTTACGGTCGAGCTGCAAAATCAGGTCGGACCATGCCATGACGGGCTTAGGGACACGGCCTTCGCGTGTTTAAAGATGTAGGGTGTAGGGTTGTTGAAATGGTTCAGGGTTGTGAGTATAATAGGGTTGAAGGTGTGTCGAAGGTTTAGGGCTCGGGGTCGTTAACTAAGGGTTTAGGGCTTCCGGCTTTCGAGGGGTTTAAGGTTTGGGGCTTTGCTAGTTTAGGGTTTCGGGCATTTGCAGAGTTTACCGTTTGGGGTGTTTAAGGGTTTAAAGGTGCTTGAGGGGTTTAGGTAGGGTTAGGGGCTTTCTGATGGGTTTAGGGCCTGGGGTGGTTAAAGGGTTTAGGGTCTAGCGAGTTTATAGAGGATTTAGGATTTATAGGGTTTAGAGTTTATCACTGAGGGTTCCATTAGGGACCAAGCAATTTCTGAATTAAGGCCCTCAGAGTTCAAGGCATTCTGGACTCAGGACTCAGGGTTTTCGGCGTAAGGTTTGGAGTGAGGGCTTAGGGTTAATACACAATCGGATGCCCACCTTACTGCCCAAACCCTAACATGGGTTGAAAAGTTGAAACTTTCAGAATAAGACGACCTCGTAAGAGCCTCCCCACACTTGAAAGGTTGGGCTTTGGACCAATAAGCGACTGAAAAAATCGAATTGCGATGCACCGATTAATCTAGGGGCCTTGATAATTAGAATAGGGTTTTGGGGTATATTGCACTATAATTGCAATAAGGAACCCCAAAAATAATATATATATATATATATAATTCATTAATTCATTAGGCCCCTATCATTACTGCTTCTGGGTGAGGCCGGGGCCATCAGATTGGAGATCCCCTACCATAAGGCCCAATACGGGGGTATTCATAGCTGCAACAGGGCTTGGGGGTGTATATTATTGGACAACTTTACATCAAGCCAGAAACTCTGGTTGGTAGTTATTCGGGCTTAGGGTTTAGTGTTTAGGAATATGTTACATCCTCAAAGACACTAAACTGCTAGGCCCCTCCTCCAGGCGTTCGTTCGTTGAGATCACAGGCGCCAGCGGGGTGGTGGCCTTTGACATCGCGAGGAGGAGCAGGGCACCAAGGCATTGACATCCGGTTTAGGGTTTAGGGTTTAGGGCCAGTTGTTTAAGCCCCCGATACTATAACCCCAAACCTTAAACCCTAAATCCCATTGTTACAAAGTTGCGTAATCTTGGGCAGCACTGAAGGTTGATCCAGTAGTGCAAGTTAATTACCCCAGACATTGTATCCCTGCATTCGGCACGGGATTTCCCAAACCGCCAAATGTAGAGGAACCCAAGACAACACTTCGAGGGAGGTGCGCACATGCCGTTGCATCTAATGTGGCTGCTTACACATACATGCACAGACATGTGTATCACCGTACATCTATACACACTGACACAACTGCAGATGCAGCCACTCGAACCTTAAACCTTAAACATCCTTAAACCCCACGACCCCTATGAGAGCCACAGAGAGAAAGAGAGAGTGAGAGAGAGACCGAGAGAGAGAGAGAGAGATATATATATATATATGTGGAGAGCGAGGAGCGAGCAAGAGAGAGACAGAGAGAGAGTTGGCGCGAGACACCGCGAGAAAGAGAGAGAGAGAGAGAGAAGCAGTAAGAAAATAGTAAGAGACAGAGAGACTCGAACTGCAAGCCCAATCAAGAACAAAAAGACTCAAGTCAAGGACATGTATACACATGTGTGCACTGAATGCACTTACGAGCCTTACGACAGTATGCATTAACCTATGTACCATGCATGCATGAATGTTTGTGCATAGATACGTTTATACATACACACAAACACGCATGTATACCTATGTATATACATATATAATACATATATATATATATACATATACATAGATATAAACATGTGTACCTATGTATATACATGTACCGACATACACATATATATATACATATATATATACATATGTATACACGTACGGACCTACATACATGCATACACACATAACATACGTTCATGCGTACACATAAGCACATGCGTACATGCCTGCATACCTTTTGTACATACCTAGATACATACATGCATACATACACACATACATGCATGCACGCATACATACGTACATACAGACGTACAAACCTACAGACATACACACATACTTACATACATAGATACATACATGCATACATACATACTGTTTCGAAAAAAAAACATATTTTGTTGCATGTGTATGTATTGATACCGGTTAATTAAAGAATACATAATGAGAATGTATGTGTGCGGCCCGCAGATATGCATACTGAGTGGCTGCTTTGTATGCTCTCATTCACCACGTCACCTTAGGTTCCTGGCAGAGTCTGCACATCCTGTGCGACCCACACTGCAAGCCGGATCACGCCAGAAAGCATGCTACTTGGAGGATCATGGGACTTACTAGGTATGGTTGATAAGTACTCTAGGTGGGGATTACCTTAATGATAGCCCTGGTTACTAAGTCCCACGACCCTTTAAGTAGCGCCCTCAGAAGCATCCATGGGAAATGACCAGTATATGGCTGGGACAAATCCACACGCCTGCGAAACGTGCCAGGCAAGCAATGAAACAGCACAGTGCAAGAAGTGCAACAGGGAGATTCAGCCAATACAGCACACCAGCACTTGCGCTTGGTCTCTTCGGGGTGTAATGCCACTTCTCACACAAGGTTGTCATCTGCAGACGCAGGAGGTTCGAGACGCAAACGATGCTGCTGGTGATGGACGCGATGTTGACAACGTACTTGTTGAAAGGACACGAGTCATATGTCAAAGCGAAGACGGTAATTTGAAACCAGAACCCGGGCAGCGCTTCTGCGACCACCTTGGGCATAAAACTATGAAACCTGTCCACGACAGGATACAGCTTGGACTCCTCGTCCAGCTCAAGCTCTGCATGGAGCAGCTTATCGAACACGTCATGCAGTATGAGTAGACCACCAATGTCTGTAGTGTGCTTCCAATTATACCACATGGCAAAAACAGCATCCTCGTCGCCGTCCTCTTCGAATCTGTCGAAGCGTCCGGCATGTCGCTGGACGAGCCACCACAATGCAATCAACTGGCATAGCATCGAGCCCACGAGTATGGAGAAGAGAATACCGGGCAAACCCAGTCGCGCAACGAGCCAGCCTGCTGGGGGTGCACCCTCCCAGGAGGCCGTAAATTCTTGTTTGACCGGCCCTGTGTAGAGGCTGTAGGCATTCGCAGCTGCCCAGGCGTCCAGAGCTGGATCCACTGCTTCTAGCATGCCGAATATACAGGCGAGTCCACCCGATGTAACGCAATGCATCCCGCAGCGACCGTTCAAGTGAGATAGAGCGTCGATAGAGTGCTGCCACTTCGCCCTGGGTTGTCGCCTTAGCCAGGAAATCAGCTTACCTGCCAGCCAATATTGTAGGCTTGTGGAGCAGACCAGCATCAGAACGAGGATGAATCCAGCAGCGTGGTCGTTGCCTCTGCAAGAGACAACGAAGATCAGAGGTGCACAGGCGAACTGCGCCAATGCAATAATGACGCATTGGTCGTAAATTGGCCACAAGCCATCGCTGACGGAGTGTTCAGTCGTGTCAAGCAAGTTTTGCATCTCGCACATCTCACTTGGGTCGGCAACATCGGACTCGATTTCTGTATCAGACGCGGTGTCTTGACTCACACATCGTCGAGACATGGCGTGCAAAGCTCACCGTTCAACATACACAGACTCCAAACAAACAACCTGGGCATAAACCCCGAAACCCTAAATCCTAGAAAGTGTAGTGAGAATTATGGTCTATTCCTTACTATGGGTAATGCAGGATTCATTGCCCATCCTAGAGAATATAGCATAATTCCCATAGTTGAGGGTCCTTACGGTGATGCAGGATTTGAGTCATCAACTGTAGGAATACAGAGGGCTCCCTATTTGGCATTGCGTGGCTTATGAAGAACCTAAGACCACCGAAAGAGAAAAAGGGTCCATTGGGAGACCTAGCTCTTTGGCCATGGGCTATGAAGCCTCGTTAAGATGCTACAGCATCAACACCCAACCAACACCGACACCGGCCGGGCTAAGGGTTCAGGGTTTAGGGGTTTTGGGTTTATAGCGCGTATAGGGCTTATAGGGCTTATAGGGTTTATAGGGTTTAGGGTTTAGGGAGTTCAAACCCAACACCGACACCGGAAACCGCATGCCTCAACCCTTCCCAAAACCCTGCATAAACCCAACGGACAGTTCGACTGGCAGCTCGGGTTAAACCCTAAAGCCTAAAGCCTAAACCCTAAAGCCTAAACCCTAAACCCTACTTAAGATGAGCCCAGATGCCCTGATACTTAGAACTGGGTTTTAATCGGGGAGGGGGGTGAACGAAGCTATGTTTCTAAATACGGTTGATGATACAAATCCTGCATTACCCACCATAGTTTAGGGTCCTTAAGGTCATGCAGGATTTATATCATCAACTGTATTTACAAAGTAATACTATTGCTGGCTATTTCGACCCAGCAATTAGGCTTGACAGAAGTCAACATGATGTCGATGTAGTACTCATCGCTCGACCCTAAAACCCTAAACCCTAAACCTTTAACCCTACACCCTAAACCTTCAACCCTAGGCCCTCGAGCGTGGCTTAAGGGTTTGAACTTCATGGTATTCGGGCCGAGATTCCGGACTGCAGCCGCAGGAAGCAAGCCAAGTCAAGAATTTCTGGGTTTGGGGGGGTCAGCGTTTAGGGGTTTCGGGACCAGCACCCCCCAAATACCCTTTACTAGAGCCCTTATGGCCCTTGATAGTCTTAACAGTGGGTATCTCGCGGCCATTGAAGGGGGTTGTGATGGTACGAGCTGCTTTGAAAGGCTTTGGGCTGTCGGAAAGCCTCATAGCGATCGCTCTAGATCGGGAGTCTCTTTGAGGTACGCATCTGGGTTCATAAATAGCTTCGCATTAAGGGCTTAGGGTTTAGGGTTCGGGGTTTAATCGTTTGAGGGTTTAGGGGCCCAAAACAACTCCCGATCCACTGCACATGGACTGGAAAGCTTCTTGAGTCAGGAAGTGGCCCCTAAATCCTATAAACCCTAGACCCCTGAACCCTAAACCCCTAAAACCCCAAACCCAAAGGTGGCGCACTTGCACTTGGAGGGTCAAAGGGCTTGTCAAGCAGGGCTGAAAAGGCATGGGAAATTATCTAAGGTTTTCGGTATACGGTTGAAGGGTTTAGGGGTTTAGGGTTTAGGGGTTCAGGGTTCCTTTAAGGGTTCCTTTAAGGGTTCCATAAGTAAGAGTTCTCCAAGGGTTCTAGAAGGGCTCTATGGTTTTTCTTAACAAGGTTTAGGGCTTAGGGTTTACTAGCAGAGGAGTAGGGGCCTAAATCATTGCCAATACTATTTTGGGGGTTCCTTATGAGCATTACTATTCTTGTTATAGTATATAATTGGCCCCATAGCCCTTTTCGAATTATCGCCCCTATATTGCTCTGGCTTTGAAGCCCTTAAGGTTCGAAACTGTGGGGTTGAGTTTGTTGTTTAGGGGCTACTCTTCCTATGACGACGATGTCCAGCACACTGCTTTGTGGCACCTTCGGAGAAGAAGTGCTACTACGACCACCGGGACGACGACGAAGATACATGCAAACAAAATTACTGTTGCCATTCACATCTAAGCATTGCCACAACTTTGACGACCTTGACCAGGCTTGCTAGCAATTCACGTATTGATCTCACCACTGTTGCGACCACTAATGCCTTTGATTGCCATTGTTTTTGAACTCAGTATCATCATGGTCGATTCAATATTCAATGGATGCTAGAAACTAGTCCTGCATGAACTTGGTATGCTTCGGCCAAACCTCAGCCCAAGATACCCAGCATGCAATAGCAGCAACACTCTGAACCCCAAAACCCTGAACCCGCAACCCTAAACTTCCAAACCCCTAAAGCCTAATCCCTCCACCATAAGCCCCTGTAAACCCTAAACCCCTGAACCCTAAAAGCCTAAAGCCTAAACCCTTAACCCCTAAACCCCCGAACCCTAAACCCATAAAACCTAAAAGCCTAAAGCCGAAACCCTAAACCCCTAAACCCCCAAACCCTAAACCCCTAAAACCTAAAAGCCTGAAGCCGAAACCCTAAACCCCTGAACCTGAAGCCCTAAACCCCCAAACCCTAAACCCTGACCCGGCCTGGCCGGCGGCACTTTCAAAATCCACGCCGGGGAAGCCTTTTGTAGGGTTTAAGGTTTAGGGTTTAGGGTTTAGGGTTGTCAGAGTGTTTCGGGTTTAGGGTTGAGGGGATCAGGATTTCTGTGGTGCTTAGAAAGGGTGGCATCAATTTGGTGGTGTTTGGGTCGTTTGGGCTTTATGAAACTCTAGGGTTATAGGCATGAAAAGGTTACGGAAATACGCAGTCTAAATTACCGTGACCAGGATAAAAAGCAATTCAGACGATTCCCGATTATGGCAAAAGGAATTCAATTCCTCCGCCGAAAAACCTCTTCACAGATGCCGTCACAGCCCTTGTACCCAAAACCCTGCAATGAAGCGGCAAAGACTCCTTGAGTAAGACCATTAAGGCAGTAGTTTCAACAAGCTTGGAAAATGGTGCCTTAGCCCTTAGGCGGTTTAGGGTTTGGTGTTCTGGGATGTTTGGGGATTTAGGGCTTTTAGGATTTCGGTGCTTCGGCCCCTTAACCCTAAGACCTACGATGGGTTTAGGGTTTGGGGTTTAGGGTTTAAAACCCTGAACCCTACACCCCAAACCCCAAACCCCCTTTAGGGTTCAGGCTTAAGGCCCAAACCCAATACTTGAGACGCTGCCATCAGGGATCTCACATTGCAGCATGGCGCCGCCAGTCCCCTCGCGCCGGTGTGCTGCTGTCTCGCCCGAAACCCAGGGACCCCCAGTACACCGAAAGTAGGTTCTGAGGGGTGCTTATCAAGACTTTAAAACGGCTTTGAAGGAATATACCTTCAACTATATCTAAACTAGGGCCTAAACAGGACAAGAAATCAAACAAGAAAACTACCCATAGGGCTCCTCCTGGCGAAACCCTAAACCCTAAACCCCGAACTTGTGATGTAGTTGTGAAACCATAAACTAAACCCTAAACCCTGGCAGGTTCCGTATTTAGGGGGTATTGCGCTCTCAGGGAAACCAGCCTTCAGTCGAACAAGTCTGCAAGGCTTTGGATTTACGGGGTTTAAAAGCTTCACGGCTTATGCAGTTCCGGGCTGTGGATTTAGCTTGGGTTCGTGCGCAAGGCAGACAGACGGATAATAACATCAGTTGATGTTGGCCACGTTCCACCATGCCGTCCAAAAACAAGCGGAAGCTACCCTGAAAATATGAGCTTTGGAAACTTGGTAAGAAATCTAGGGTTTAACAGCAGCGTGACCTGAATCATGGTACTCCTCTCATAACGGAAATAACGAAGTCTCATGACACTTGAGGTAGAGCCCTTGTGCCTGCGTCGGGAACATCATCCCCACCATCCGGAACACGTGGTTGCCTGCAGAACAAATGGGCATGAGGCTTTAGGTGAAGTACGTGGGCAAACAAGTCAAATTGGCGCTGGTTGCCCTAAACCCCCTAAACCCTAAACCCTAAACCGTCATCTGATGACTGTATTTTGAAGAGCTGTCGGATGTGTTTCGATTGGGGCTGTGTGATGCTTTGGGGCATGCGATGGGATAAGATGGTAATCAGTCCCCGGCGGTAGCTATCTTTCTCGAGCTTTGAGGTTTAGGGTTTAGGGTTTAGGGTTTACAACGACCTGTTCCAGGAGCTTACCTTTGCGGGCGTTTCTGAGGCGACACACTTCTTAACCCGAAACCTTGAACCCTATACCCAAACCGCATTCCTTTGATTTGGGCGTTCAGCCTGCAAGGACCTGTACCTAGTCGCTACCACCGTAGCGATCGCAGCCGCGGTGTTCGTGGTGATGGTCTGAGGTGCTGAACGACGTTTTATGAGGGAGATCCATAATGATGTTGAAGATGAAGTAGAAGAATTACATGATGATGCTGATGCTGACGCGGATGGAAACCATAAGAGTGGGCGATGAGGATTGCTTGGATGGTGACGGTCGTGGTATGGATGTCGCGATGCCTGTCCTGATCGTGGTGGTAAAGTAATGCATTGTGATGACGAAGATGGCGATTACGACTATGCTGATGATGAATGAGGGTAAGGCGTCATGATGCAAATCATGTGGAAGGAGGGCTTGGTGATGGCATAGATGGTCACCAGCATGCTGCGTGTCTTCTGGTGTCGCAAACATGCTGCCGACTACGAAGAGGACGACGAAAAGGATGGACTCAGAACGACGATGCTGATGCTGGAGATAATCATTGAGCGCGGGAAGGCAAACCCGAAGCCCTGAACGCCCAACTAAACCCTGAACCCTAAACCCTAAACCCTGAACCCTACACGCTAAACCCCAAACCCGAACCCCCAAGAGCTACGAAGCATGCGAAGACCGGTGAACTGAAGCCAAGAATCCTAAAACGGGGGTTTATGCTTAAGGGTCTGAAGAGTCTGAAGCGTTCGGGGTTTAGGGCTTTGGGTTTGGGGTGTAGGCTTTAGGGTTTAGGGTCTAGGGTTTAGGGTTTTGAATACCTAGACCAGGGCTTTGGTGGATGCAGGAGAGTAGACGTACAGCAAGCACGAAAGAGGGGACATACTGTGGATGATATATAA